ACACACATATATATATATACACACACACACACACACACACACACACACACACACTTCCTCCACCCGTCCAGTCTGAGTACCAAAGCACAACAGGCCAATTTGTCCACAGCAGACTTTCTGGCCGCCCCTGTGGATGAATGCATGGATAAAAGCATTGTGATTAATCAGAGTTTAATTGCTTAATGGATATGTGTATTACGTTCAATCTGTTGTCATGGTAACAGACAGTCTAATCGCACTGTTAGTGAAGCACAAAACAGTTGCATTTGAAGCGACTTCGTATAAAAATGTGCCATTATTCAACAATGGGATAAATCAAACGATAGGATGTTTCTTTCAGAAGAATGGAAGAAAATTATTTTCTGAAGTCACCACAATGCTAGGGTTAAAGTTCAGGGGTCTGTTCCAATCCCTCAGAGACGTGTCTCTTGGTCTGTTACCCCCAGCCTTTTGATCGTCAGTGACGTCACTTCTGATCCCTCCTCAGGACAGGCCGTGTTCTTGGGACCCTGAGCTTAGCCTGTATTTATAAAGCAGAGCCGCCGCTGGTGTTCTTGGACTCTTATTTCCAGGGTCAACAGCTCAAAGATCTCTATCTCTAATTAACCCTTAGACTCTTAGAGCCTCCAATCGCCCCGCAGAGACGTCATGCTTACATAACACCCGCTCCACAGACACAGGTGGACACTGATGTCCCGAGGATCACACCCACCAAACAATCTGCTTTCATCAGCACAACTATGTTTAGGCACCGTTCAGAGAAAAATACCTTTCAAACAAGAATATCAAACAAGATGAGACTGGTTCAAAATAACTAAAGTTGAACTATATATACAGTGTATATATAGTGTTTATTGTACTAAACCGGGTAACTAAATTAAATACATTTAAAAAATTGGTATTTGAAATAAAGCTGAAATAAAATAATTAAAATTAGATTAAAAAAAATAAACTGGCAACTAACAGAAATTAAATACATTTCAGATGAACTACTAAAATTACTAAAAGTAGAACAAAT